CAGTATTTGTCTCTGCTGTGAAAATTCAAGCTTTTAATAATATGTTTAAAGTTTATGGATTTGTTAAAAAGCAGAAGTGGAAATATTTTTAAATATTGTCTCCATCCATGATGTTTTTACTGCTGACTTAAAAAAAAAAATCAAATAAATGCAGGTATCAGGGACAGGTCTAGAGGTTGATTCAAAATTGTTTTCTCAAAATTGTTTAATTGCTATTTTGACTCAACCATGTGTTTATTAAAATAAAATTGAAAGAGACTTTTACTAAAACAAAAACATGTTTCCAACAGAGCAGACTGTGTTTGTATTTGTGTGTAAAGATATGATTTTATCATTTTATTTTAACCCATTTATCTGCCCCTGCCCTCCGTGCTCCTCCTCCTCCTCCCCTGCATGTGATTGGCTGTCGTGCCTCCTCACTCCTCCACCTGCTCCTCTTACCTCATTGTCATCCAAATGTTCCATTGTTTTTAAGAAAGTATTTCTTAAAAACTCTCTTCCTCTCTGTATGTGTTTTCGTCTGTGCGTGTGTGTACCTGTGTGTACCTGTGTGTACCTGTGTGTACCTGTGCGTACCTGTGTGTACCTGTGCGTACCTGTGTGTACCTGTGCGTACCTGTGTGTAGGTCACAGTGGAGTCAACCAGCTGGGTGGAGTGTTTGTGAACGGCAGGCCGTTACCTGACTCTACCAGGCAGAAGATCGTGGAACTAGCGCACAGCGGCGCTCGACCCTGTGACATATCCAGAATCCTGCAGGTAGAAACCCATCTGTGTGAACTGGACCTCCAGAACACGTGTATAATCACATATAGACTTATAACATGCAGAGTGTTTGTGTCCAGGTATCTAACGGCTGTGTGAGTAAGATCTTGGGCCGTTATTACGAGACCGGCTCGATCCGCCCTCGTGCCATTGGAGGCAGTAAACCCAGAGTGGCCACTCCAGAGGTGGTGGGGAAAATCGCTCAGTATAAGAGGGAGTGTCCGTCCATCTTTGCTTGGGAGATTAGAGATCGACTGCTGGCGGAAGGAGTCTGCAGCAACGACAACATTCCCAGTGTAAGACCCAAACGGACAGTTTCATTTTTACCGTCATCTGCTCTGATAGACGTCAGTCTATGAAGTCATACTTGGCTACACCAAATAGTCATATATGACGTCATGTGACAGTAGAGGGCCAGGACATTAACATGACAAAGGCTTGTATGTAATCAAAGGCAGTGAGATCCCAGGGATTCACTCTGGTGTTTTAAATGACCATAATGAAGGTTGTCGTCGAGCTCTGATATTGTGTGGGATTTAATCCAACACACTTTTTTACCCAAGAAAGTATTTCCTTCATAGTCGCCTCATGTTTTCGCTGCAGGTTTCATCAATCAACCGAGTACTGAGGAACCTGGCCAATGACAAGCAGCAAATGGGCACGGCTGGTGCTGAAGCGATGTTTGACAAACTCAAAATGCTAAATGGCCAGAGCTCCTGGGGAGGACGATCAGGATGGTACGCTGGGACGACACTCACTGCCTCTGGTACGGCCAAAAATAACTTCTTACTTTAATTTACAAAGATGATACAATTTTCATGTTGCATTTAT